AGCCCACTTAGGTCGAAGTTTGAGGTTCCTAGGTTATGACCTTTGGGTCAGACAAGGTCAAACAAGATGAAATTCCAGGTTGATCTCCGAAGTGCCCCCAGAACATAGATAACTGTTTCTAAATAAGAGATCACCAGCTCATTTAAGGTCAGTGACCTTGTTTGACTTTTTAAAGGTCATGTAACCAAAATCATATAAGACTGCTCTGAGTTATTCATTTGAATAAACGACAAAGATTACCCTTGGCAGTATGTCCCTAAAAACAAAATGTCGACCTGGGTCATCTTGGGTCAATGATATTTTCTGACCTCTAAGAAGTTCATGGAAGATGTGTTATACGGTTCCTGCTGTCAACAAATTCGAAATGAGCACCAGAAACTGTCTTATACAAAAAGCCCAAGAGTAATAAGGTAGGTCGATTTTGACCTTGGTCAGTCAGTCCGGAAAACATCTCCGGCACCGAATAAACTCCCGGGTCGAGAGGAAGGGGGACTCTTCCTCCCCAGTGCGGTGGTGAAACCCATGTGCTGGTGATGCGCGGCTGACCGGGTCGTAGCAAAATGAAGCGACGATGACGGAAGTCATGCAGAAAGGAAAACCTCGACGCACAGACTTTCACAGTAGGCCATATTCAAGTGGAAATTGGAGTTGGTTTGGAGCGAATCAAGGAGCGAGCCACTACAACCACTGCGGCGAAAGGGAGACTGATTCTGGTAACATGACAGATTCTTTTGCCCGCTTGTTCCTTTCTGGTGGTGCATTGTGCCCATGGTGTCCACTGCCCACTGCCTCCGCTGTTCCCGGCCTCGGTGACTGCCGTCTATTGTCCGCCGTGTCCGCCATGTGTTGTGTGCGCTGTGCACCGTCTTCCATATTCTCTATGTCTGCCACAGGTTGTAGCCGAGCCGGTGGACGACTGCGTCGCGTGTTGGCTGTTGGCGTCGTGGTATTGTTGACTGCGGCGTCGTTTGGGGCGATGGTGGTGGCGGCGGGCGTCATTGGACGTCCCGCACCTCGCCCTGCGGCGTCTGCAACAGCCCGGCTACCCACCGACGTGGCCGTAATCAAGTAAGCCTGTCAAGCTGCAGGTACTCCGTCAATGCCCAGAACTCCGTGGGCACATACGAAGTTGATTCGATCGCTTGTTGCACACATTTGTAGCGGTTGGGGTTTGGTGGCGGATGTCTGATGTTCTTGTTATCCCGCTGTTATGTTTGTCTTGAGACATATAGAGCAGTGAACCATACTTTCTTTAGAGGATTTCTTGCAGGTCTTGTACGCTAAATCCAAATCATTTACGGAACTATTCGTTTACGTAAGTTGCTCAGTGCTTTAGCGAGGAACATTGTTCAAATAGATAGGACAGCAGTATCAGCCTTATTCTTCTGAGAAAAAAACAGGGGATGGAGATATGGTTGGGTCAAACTCTCCTGGTATTTCTCCGATAAATAAGGCGAGTACTAATATCTGAACTATTCGTTTTCTCTGTCAGCTCTCCATTTTCTACAGTTCTTCCAGCTATGGAAAATCGATTCGATGCTAATAAGTGTGCCAGTGTTCAGGGCGGCACCACGGATTTTGAGAAAGGGGTGCAGGCAGAATTCTGCGGGAGGACCTCTGGACAGAATGGGACCTCCTCCCAGCAGGGCCTGCTGTGCAGTATTGTTTTCAAGGAGAGAGGTCCCGCAGGCGTTGTCTTCTTGCTCCAGCGAAAGGGCCTCCCAATTCTAAAACAAGGTTTCCTGTTCCAGTAAAGGGCTTACTGATGTATAGAGGGATTTCCTG